GGCGATCGGCAGTGTTCCAAAGCGCCATAACGACGTGCGTTAGAGCGTTATGGTTGCCAATCAAGATATCTTTCTTCTCATGGAGAGTGTGGCATTGCTAACTTCCTTTCTTTGGATGACATTCTGACAAGACTTGGATATACAATGCCCTCAAGGTCTTGGTGTTGTAATCGACCAACAGTGGAAACCATGCAGTATCTTTTTCTGAAGAGTCAATGTGCTGATAAGGTATGGCAGTACTTTTCCTTGGGTGCAGGTCTTACACATGGTGTTAGCTTACAGCAGGTATTTCAAAGGTGGTGGAAACACCCTGCAAATGTATATCTGAAGCCCTTATATCAAGCATTGCCCTGTGTAGTTGTCTGGGAGCTATGGAAGAGGAGAAAGAAAAGAAGGTATGGTGGTAATATCTCCTTGAACAGGCGAATTTTTCAGGTTTCAGCAACTCTGCACAATTTACTGGTGTACAGGTTTCCTAAGATGAAAAGATTGTCTTCTAATTGGCCTGAATTGGTTAGTGAGTTGGAGAGCTACATCCCCAGGCTACATTATAGAAGAGTATGTTGGGAATTCCCTAGTGGACAATGGATTAAATGTAACACAGATGGTGCATCAAGAGGTAATCCAGGTAAGAGTGGTGCTGCTGTGGTGTTTAGAGATGCTGCTGGTGATTTTCTGTGTGCTGCTACCCGTTCAAACTAATATGTATTCAGAGATAATGGCTATTCAGTTAGCTGCTGAAATCTGTGTGCATAAAGGCTTCACAAATGTGGTGATTGAGACTGATTCAACCATTGCTAGACTGATCATGATACAAGAGGTGTCTGCACCCTGGGCTGTTGATACAATAGTCAGGAAAATTATTACATTGTTGAGGGATAAAAAAATGCGATTTTCTCATGTGTACAGGGAAGGAAATGCTGTGGCAGATAGCCTAGCTAATTATGCCATTGATGAGGAGATTTCTGGCACTTTTGAGGAGTTCCACCAGCTGCCTGCACAAGCTAGAAAGCTTATCAATGTTGATAAAGCTCAGATTCCTTCGTTTAGAGTCAGAGTCCATCCATGGAGATTCTAGTCTTGATCCTCAAGTGTGTGTACCTGCAAATAGAAGAAGATGAACAGGTGGTTAGTCTGATTCACTTAGGGCCCTATTTAAACAAAGTATATATATACTTTTGACCCCCCAACCTAGAGTAGCTAGGTGGGGAAGTCAAATTAATCCTTGTTCATACATAGGCTTCTCTGGTACGAAATGGGCCACTTCAAATAGGTTCATTGCTCCGGCCCAGAATACGATTAATCCAGCATGGGCTACATGAGCCCCTAGTAGTTTACCGGATAAATTGAGTTGTCGGGCATTCCCGGCCCACCAAGCGAAACCAGTGCTTTCTTGGTCACGACCAGCTAAGGCTAAAGTTCCATTAAAGAGCCTTTCCACGTGGTAGAACCTCCTCAGGGAATATAAGGTTTTCATGAGGCTGATCTTGAGCCGCCATCCAAGCGCGAATACCTTCGTTTAAGAGAATATTTTAGGTGTAGAAAGTCTCAAATTCAGGATCTTCCGCTGCGCGAATTTCCTGAGAAACGAAGTCATAGGCACGTAGGTTCAGCGCTAGACCGACTACTCCAAGAGCACTCATCCATAAACCGGTTACTGGTACAAATAACATAAAGAAATGTAACCAACGTTTATTGGAAAAAGCAAGCCCAAAGATTTGGGACCAAAGGCGGTTAGCGGTGACCATTGAATAAGTTTCTTCGGCTTGAGTTGGGTTAAAAGCACGGAATGTCTTAGCACCATCACCGTCTTCAAATAAAGTCTTTTCTACGGTAGCACCATGAATGGCGCATAGCAAAGCAGCGCCCAATACACCGGCAACTCCCATCATGTCTCCAAAAGAGCTTCCCTCCCCTTTAGGACCGAGTTCAGGACATAGATTCCTTGAAAGTGAATTAAGTGTACTAACATATTCAACGAGTCGCGGAAACGGAATAGAACCCTCTTCCCTGATTTGACACTGATCTCGTAGATGCGGTGGTTTTGCACTAGAGGTCTTACATCACCCTTCCAATTAGACACCAGGTGCTTTAGCAAGAAAATCCCAATTTGCCTAAGTTATGGAAGTAAATTGTTAGAACTGACCTAAACCCCTTAGATATATGCTCAATTCTGGACAGAAAGTCGTCCATCATCTTACTACTTCTATCATCAAAGCACTTTATTGTTATGTAGTCATCGCTGAAATAGGTTTCCACCCTATTGTACTTGACAGGCTCCTTAGGGAGAACAAGCATGAGACCCGCTGCATACGGCTTATGCGTGTCCCCCTCACCGGTTATTAATGTCCCGAGATCCGATACAACGAAAGCTTTTCGCTCAACCTTTCTTTCGCCTAAACAATTTCATTGCCTCACTCCGCTCGCCTACAAAAACCTATTTCGTTCGCCTACAAAACCACCTTTCTAGTCGAGCGCACGAGAAGACCCTGTAGAAGTC